ATGCTGCAGAGCTCAGGACGTACTGGTCGAGGGGCTGCAAAACCGTAGCTCCGTGCTGTCCTGGAGGCTGCATGTGTCTGGCCAGACCTGGATCTATTGTTCAGCACTAAACACCAACAACAAGCTGGGTTCTGCTGCAGAAACCGGAGGGACAGGCCCCAAGAGGCCTGCGATTCTGACCGACAAGCAAGACAAACCAGGCCTAAAATGGCCTGGAAGCTGGGAACGAAGCATAGAGTGAGGTTATTATTTATTCTAGTTGCAAGTGTGATGGTATATTTACTGAAGTGGGTTAACACTGGGACCTGCAAAGTGAAAACATGTGCTTATGCCCGTCTGATTCTTTGTGAGGGATACAGAGACCCGGAAGGTTATTTGTCTTAAAGGTTTTTTTTTTTTTTTGATTGCATTTTAACATCGGGAATTCAGTTCTTGGCCACCCTGAAAGACCCCACGGTGACCGGAGAGCTAGTGGAATTACGGCATTGCTGGTGGCTGAAAGCTGAGGACTGAGCAGTGAAAGGGAATTTGAGGCTGCAGCTACCCTGCCAAAACCTTCCGGGACACTCGGTTTGCCAGTTGTTAGCAGCTGTAGTGTTCCAAACAGGTTGATGTAACTGCTGGAGCCCCAGAGCTTCCACCAAAGCTGACAACCAGCGCAACTACAGCAGTGGTGGATTACAGGTCTCATTGTGCCAGTGCAGACGGCAGAGTCTTTTGACTGCATTTGTTGACACACATTTTACTCAAATGCCTAAAAAACACTGTGGAGAAAGGAGGTCTGTGTTAAGTGCCAGGTGTACTAGTCCCCCACTGCGACACCAGCAAAACCATGAAGAACCAGACTGGAGATTTCTAAGGCTAAAAACCAGGCCTTTTTTTTTTCCTTTTAGGCTTTCTTTGTATGCAGCATAAAGATGTCGAAAAAGGCTCTTTAAAAAGTCCTTTTCCCGCCCCCCCTAACAACAAAAAGGGTGTGTTGGGGAAGGACTGGAGCGAGGTGGGGGGGGGGGGGGGGGAAGCTGATAGCACAGCAAGGGGTGGGAAGAACTCCCAGGTAGCATGGAAAAAGGCGGAAAGACGAGCAGAAGTTTCCAGAAGGGATTTACAGAAGGGTAGCTAACAAGGAATGGATCCAGATGTCCCATCACAATGCGGCCTTATCAATTTGCTGTGACCGGCAAGGGAGTTTAGCATCTTGCCCTTTTCCTCCATAGATCTCAAAGCACGTGACAGTCTCCATGTTACAGATGGGAAAACAGGCACAGAGAGGAGAAGTGACATGCCCAGGGTCACCCAGCTGGTCGGTGGCAGAGGCAGGACTAGACTGCAGGTCTCCGAAATGCCAGTCCAGTGCCCTCTGCATCTTAGGGAGTTTAACCCTAGTAGCACTAATAGAAATGCCAGTTTGAAATTTCATTAGGCAAGGAGGTTTTTTAGCCGAATGAGCATACCCGGCTGAAGGATCCTGGGGCTACTGGTCCTCCAGCACAAACCAACAGCGACCAGGAAAGATTTTAACGGTGCCTACTGGAGTTTCCACTTGGGCTAGCACACTCTGCAGAGTTAGTGGCCCTGCTCCCGTACTGGTAAAGCAGAGCTGGGAAGTTACTTCTTGTGGGGCCAGTTTCTCCCCCAGCCCACATGCAGAGGGGGGCTGGGGTGCATGAGGGCTCGGTACTGGCTTCCCAGCATTCTCCTGCCTTCCCCCTCCCCAGTGCCCTCTGGGTGCAAGGAGGGCTGGGCCTTTGCAGTTCCTGACAGCAGTAACGTGTACTTGGGAAAGCAGCACCAAGCAGAGGCTGGGGTTGCTCAGGGCGATGGGCTGCTGGCTTCCTTCCCTCTGGACAGGCAAATCAGTTGGCAAAACTCAGACTCAAAAATGAATTTACAAGCAAGCTGGCTGCAAGAGCTTTGGACACATCTTTCCTGCCCCGCACCCCATTAGTTAGGGGCTGGCTGGGCCAAGGGGTCAAGACAAAGAGGATACCCAGATGACTTTCATAAGCACTGCCCATTTGAACCCTCTCGGGGGTTTGTTACTCCATGCTCTCCTGGGCAGCACTGAGGACCTGAACCAGTCGCACTGGTACCTGAGCCCCTCATGGCTTACAGGATGCTCTCGGATCATTTGGATCAAGCCAGACATCGCACATCGAGGGGCAATGGTTGTAGCCTCAGCCCAGGGCACCAGAAAGAGCTAATCCATCTCTGACAGTCCTATGGCTGCTGCCACAGGATTTAGTGCCCTTTTGTAGCATCAGCTTGCATTGCTCCAGCCCTCGAGCTCACAGACAGTGAAGTTTCACATTCCGGAGTCCTTAGAGGGCACATCCTGCATTCGCCTTACATCTCCTCTTTATACAGGTCCCTTCTTCACGGGGTGGTCAATCTACCCCTATTGCCTATGCTGGAAGTTCCGTTTCCACCTTGACCCGCTCTATTTATGCTGCTGCATTGATCACATAAAGCCTCCAGAGACATATGCAGGGGGCACGCCCTGAAAAACAGTTTTCAAACAAAGTTATTCTAGGGGTTCTTGTTACTTAAGGAAGAAGCCAATCCTACCTGCTGGGATAATAGAGATAGGATATCCGCTTCAGCTCTTGGACAAGTGAGATTAAGTGCTGGCAAGGCTGGTTAGTCATCACTTATTACATGCGTTGGATAGAAAAATAAAATAAAATAAAATAAAGGAACAGCTGAGGCTGTTACTAAATACCCAGCCTGTTTGATAATGGACGGAGTCTATAAAACTCAAAACCATTAAATCCCCATTTATATTTTCCCCCACTCCGCTGATCTGCCCTTTATAATGGAGAGGCAGAGAGAATCAAAGCCTGGTTTATATCAAACTTTGTGGAAAGGGTGGGGGAAAGACTCCAGCACGGTGCAGAGTATTGTACATGTTCAATTTCATTCTCAACCCGGCAGTATAAAAAACAACCCCCTCTTTGAGATATCCACATCCCCTAATGCAGCATAATCCCACTTCCTGGATCTGACAAGTACAACCAGCTCCGAGCGAGGAGCCATCTTTGTGACAGGAATATGGCTCTGGTCCCTAGAACAGCTGTGGATAGTATTCTCACTCCAATCAGCCAATGACCTCATCAGCAGTGAAGCTGCAGCCCTTCAAGCTAGTCATCTGTGTTATTTAGGTAACACTGCCGCCCTATGGGGACAGGGAGGATAAAATGGAACAGTGGTTCTAAGTTTCTATCTAATCTGATGCTCACTCAAGATTCCGAGCTAGCATGTGAAGAAAACGCGGTGACCCTCTCTAGGTTCTGAGCTTGCTCTTTTCCATGTTTTCTTTCAGGGAGTCAGGATGAAGACGACACATTAATCCGAATGTCTATTATTATTTGTATGACCGTCATGCCTATGAACCCCGGTCACAGACCAGGGCCTCAGTGTGATAGGCTGTTTATACAGTGCCTGTCCCCTAATGACTACATTATACCATGCGTTAGCATTTGTGCCATTCATAGAATATCAGGGTTGGAAGGGACCTCAGGAGGTCATCTAGTCCAACCCCCTGCTCAAAGCAGGACCAATCCCCAGACAGATCCCTAAATGGCCCCCTCAAGGATTGAACTCACAACCCTGGGAGCGGAGCTTCTGCAACTGCAGTGGCTGAAGACCCCATTTTTGCAGATTTTGGAATGTAGATACCACAGCTTAATTTTTAATTAAAAAAATTAAGAAATCATATCCACCATGGCGATGCAATGTATCGTGCCCACAAGCCCTGGCGAAGAGGAAGGTGATGGGTAATGTTATACCATGCTCCGAACATTTAGACAGAAATCACAACACTCAGTTCCACGCCTGCTTCTGTCACTGACTCACTAACTCTGGGCTTGCAAAACTGATACAGATACATTGCAAGTGTAATTTACCAGGGTACATCACACTGATGTGGTGCATCTACACTGGGGGCTGTACCAGTGTAATTATGACAGTGCAAACCATCTCTGCACCACACAAAACCACAGAATAACCGGAGTTTTTGAGACGTCACGGTCTCTTTCCTAACAAAACAACATGAATAATCACTACTTCACAGGAGTGTCAGGAGGCTTTGTTAAATAATATTTATAAAGCACTTCGTATCTCCCACATGCTTCGTTGACGCCACAACTCTGGCCAATGCTCCCTAGCTGTGAAAAACCCTAGGACTGGAGGAAGTCAGAGTGAAATGGGAAGAAAGTTTGATGGGATGAATGGGAAAGCTCCGAACAGAGATACAGAACGCTTCAGGGAGGAGGGAGGGGAAAACGAACAGCTCTCCAGATCCAGCTCATTCTCCCTTAGAATCTTGGGGTGCTGCGCCCCACCATTTCTCTGGATCTGCACACTGTAAAGATGGACACTCACCTTTCATCTGGTGAACACGCCATTTAAAAACGGACCCAAGCGGATGGTGCGTAGAAGGACCATTTCGAGTATTCTTCAAAACGAAGACAAGCACGGCGCTACAACAGGCACATAAGAGGAGTCAGTCACAAAATAAGAATGAATCAAATGGAAAACAGTGGATTTTACTGGCTGGCTGCCCATAGCAGGGAAAATCCCCCATGATGGAAGGTACATTATCCTCTAAATAGAAGGCTTACGAGGCTGGCCAAGTGAACACATCTTATTTAACAAAAGTTTTCTTTACATACCATTGGAACATTTCTTGGCTTATACCCACTATGCTACAAGAGGCCTTATGTCATAGGAACTACTCATCCAGCTAAGGAGTTGGTGGGACTCCTTTATTCGACACAGGGGAATGGCATTTTTCCTCGCCCCCCTACTTCCCCTCCCATCTCCGCAATACTCTGAGTCCTGGGAACAAAAAGTCAGCACTGGGAATCAAAGTGAACCCAGGTGTCCTGTGTAGCAGTGAGAAGCACAACATCTAGATCATCCCAGGAACCAAATATCCTAAGCCAGTCACTGGAAGTGAATCCCATTCAGAGAGGCAAACAGAGGGAGTGTGGGGCTTGTTGCTAGATAGATCATTTATTAAAAGTGAAACTCAGGCATTTATATCTTTGTCTGACAGTACAGAGTTAAAGTCTCATACACGGTGGGAGCAGAACATTTTCTACATCTCTGAGAAAATTATACAGTTTCACTATAAGTTACTAGAGTTACGCTGACAGTACACAGCTATCTTACATCAGTAAAAATACAAGCTATCCAAAACATTTGGAATAAGATCAGCAGAACATGTGGGAGGCTATAAAGAAAGGGGGAATGATTGTTTTTTCTCCCAGTAAGCCTGGTACAGAGTAAAAGGATTTTTTTTTTTTTTAAAGTTATCCGATATGTGTCCTCTTGGTGTTCTGGCTGTGGAATGGGACAAGACAACAAATGAAAGGCAAAACACAAACCTCGCTCTTAAAAATAACACTGGAAATCTATTAAGTCAGAGACCTTAAGAACCTATTGCAACCTATTTTATACATCAGACCTGATTGTAAGTGAAATTCAGAATTTAAGGCAAGAGCCCTCCCATTCCATGAACACTATTTAGTTACTTTCAAACAGAGCTGTGGGTAATGCGTAACATGGAAGTGAGAGCAGGGGTTTGTTGCAGAAGTGAATGGACTATCTGGTGCCATTAAGAGTCCCGTTTAAAACTAGAAAGCAGAAACTGCAAACTGAACTCTACCACCTCTCTTATGCTTGATAAGCCCTAGCTGACATGAAGAAACAAAGAATATTCTATTGTCTCTCCATGATGGGCCCTTTAGTGAATCCACTGGGCAGTAAAATGGCTCCCACCTAAAAGTTTAATGTTCCCTCATCTCAACAGTTTAAACTTTAAAGAGAAAACGATGCTAGGGCACTGCAGGAGTAAGAATGGTTTGAAACAAAGATAGAAAAGATTTTGTTTGATTAAGTCCCCCTCCCTGACCACCTCCATTTACTTACCATCATTTCCCACTGGTATTTACATTAGAACCTACCAACAGAAGTAAAGTGCATGGCTCACCCTTTCTCCTCCCCACTACATTTGTGTTTGGCATAAAACACTCATTGCAAAATGTAACACTGTTTAGGTGACTCTTCCTTCACACACACATTTTTAAAAAGCTAGGTTTTCATTTGGACCATGTCCTATTTGGAATTCTCTTTGCTATGCTACCTAGTCTGAACTATGTTTGCTGTGGGTTACTTTGGCTTTAGATTTCATAGCTTGTTTGGATAAGAAGTCATCCTACTGACATGTCTGACTTTCAAATGCCAGACAGGTTTTTTTAGTGGAGTTTTTTGGTTGAGCTACACATCAAAAGAGCCTCCAACTTTCCTTAGAAGCATGCCTGCAGGTACCAGAGAATTAGGTAAAGTCAGGACAACCTTTATCCTCCACTTTTCTGAATCTTAGGATACGTATACACCACAGCAGTTAGAATGGCACAGCTATGGTGCTGCAGTTGTGCTGTCTGTAGCACTCTAGAGTAGATGCCTCCGACATTGACAGGAAGGGCTTTTACCACTGATGTAGGTAATTCACCTCTCGGAGAGACGGTAGCTAGATTGATGGAAAGAATTCTTCTGGTGATCTAGCTGTGTCTACAGCGGAGTTAGGTCGACCTAACTATGTTGCACAGGGCATTACATTTTTCACAGTCCTGAGCGATATAGCTAGGTTGACCTAAATTTTTAATCAGGCTTTAATATCCAAAGTTTCTAGCAAAAGAAACATTAAATATTACTGCAACAGTTTGCTCAAGATATGCAGCATTCAAGATACAGAGACAAAACTAGGCCTTGAAAGATGAACACAGAACATCTAAGGACAAAGTGCCCCCTAAGTTCTTGCCCGCTTTATCAGCTGCACTTTCCAGTCATCACAATGCCACTGCCCCCAATTTAATCCTATCACAGTACACTTCAAATTCTCTTGCTTTTTCCTTCACTGAGCTGAAGGCATGAAAAAGGTCAGTGATTTTTTTCTTCCCCTACAAATACTAGTGACCAGCATAGGACCACTACACAGGATGAAATTAACCCACTGAAGAAGCCTGCAGGAGGGACTCTGAGTTCCATCCTAAGGGCTTAGGGTCTGATCCAAACCCTAATGAAGTTGACAGGAGTCTTTAATTGGATTAGGTTCTTATGTGGACAGGAGGGTTTCCTATAGGGCCTTCTGCACTGGATGAATTCCACCCACAGGACTTGGAACAAATGATATACTACTACTAAAGTGTGCGCACCATGGTTCAGTTAGATAGCATTTAAGTCCCATCTGTGAAATGCAAATTCTGAAAGTATCAAGGTAAAAACGTACACCTTGTGTGAATGAATCACGTCAATCAAAGCATTTCTGCTCTCCTGAATCTTAAACAAACCCCGAAGTGCAGAAAAATTCTGCTACCTCAGCTTTCACATCTCTGAGGCTCAAAAAATATTTGCTGTTGAGGATTTAAAAAACGTTGGACAGTATCATTAATTAGCATGCAGCATAATCAAATACACACAGTGGCATTACACAGAACAATTGCATTGTTGCGTTTCTGGTTATTAAAGTCTAAATGCTCTGAGAGCCACAGGCACTCTGAACATAGATATTGCTGCTGAATTGACGTGTGATGTCAGTTTCTAGCATGGGGAGTCACATGAGTGACCAGTCCCTCCACCAAGACACTTGCTCTCATGATCAAGGCTTGTTACTCTAGCTGAGTTGAGAACAAGAGAATAAGGCATCTCCAAGTGTTTATAAGGCAATGGAATCCAAGGGATCTGAAAACCAAAGATTCCTCTGCTTCTTTGGTGTCCCTCCTCCAACCTCTCCACCTTATAAACTCCTGCTAATGGCTGGTAAACATCTTTCCATCACACCACCTTAGAATGAGATTTTTTTTTTAAGTATAATTGCTTAAGTGAAACCAACAACAATCAAATTTGATATCAATCGATTAGCTCAGAAAAATGTCCTGAATCCCACCTCTGCACAAAAACATTCCAATGAATACACCTGAACAGATGGAACCTGCCACCATATTTCCTTTGTAAAGAATCTATTTGCTGCTGAGCGGCTAAAACACTGCAACAAATTATTTGCTCTTAAAAAAACAAACAAACAAACAAAAAAAACCCACCACACCACATAAATTCCATTTTTACAATTTTGGTCTGGAAGTCAGGATGAGGCATAACCTACTCATAACTTGAAGACAGATTTTTCCTTAATCACTCTCCTCCGGCTGCATGCATACAAACTCTGCAGTTAATCATGCAGTCAGAGAAAAATACCTTCTAAGCATCTGTCCTGAATTATATAAATCAGATCAACTGACTGATACGGGGTTTTTATTTCAGCCTTCCAATAAGGAAGGGACCAGAATAATGGAGACTCTTAAACACTCAGGAAATATTGATGCAAGACATTTGCTTACCATTTCATACACTCCTTCACGGCTTGTGTCAAAGCCCCTTAGGGTATGTCTCTATTGCAATTAGACACCTGTAGGTGTCTAATTGCCCATGCCAGCTGACTCCCTAGGGACTGTTTAATTGCAGAGGTTTGGGCTCGGGCCTCACTAGGGCCCCAGCTCCAGCCCAAGCTCGAATGGTTACATGGCAATTAAGCAGCTCCCTAGCCCTAGCCCCACGAGCGTGAGTCAGCTGGCACGGGCCAGGTTTTTAACTGAAGGGTGGACATATCCTCTGATCTAAATAGCAAAAGGTTCTTCAAATTCATACTGAATTGAAGTCTGTGAGGACACTTGACACAATCCACATCGTTCAGAGATGCATCAGATTACAATGGAATACCCCTAGCACTAGAACTATTTTCTGCATGACACTGGACTTATTAAAAAGGCTGAAGTTTCTTGAATATCTATTTGGAACATAAGCAAACACGTGAAAGCTCTGCAAATAAACTCAGTTTGCTTAGAGTGGTGACCTTAATTATCTTAACAGACACTTTGGGAAAGCTTAAGATTTCAAGACGTTATTGTATGAACTGTCTGTCTTGCACAATAAGCAATACATACAATATTGAGCTGTGTCTCACGTTTAGCTATTCAAAGCTACAGCCGGTTTCTGCATGTTCAAACCCACAACGGAAAAATTCTAACCTAAGTTCTCCACTGTTCACTTTGCTGCTTAAGGCTTGTTTGCATATATGCTCATCAAGTGGGGCTTGGCATCTCAGAACAGAATAAAAAGACTAAAGTTAAAACAGCAGGGGCGCAGAGTGGTGTTTTAAATCACAAAGATTACCTTGAGTTGAATTTGAGGTCATTGGAAAATGACAGGTCACAACCCTCTTTAGGCTCCCTTTGCCAATTTTGTTTAGGCTGTGAAGATTTGTAGGAATACCTTGGCTTGAAATGACAAAAATGTGTGATTTTAACTTTACTTTTAAAATATGCAGTTACAAAGGACAACTGTGTGCCATTCCATGATCAGCATTATTCCTAGGAAACGTAAATTTAATGCTTATGAAAGGTGAGTGTTTTGACTCTCTGTCCATGCCAAAAACAGTTCAGGCAGATGCTGTTCAAATATCGCATACACTCCTGTTAGTACACTGGTGACATATCTATTGCTCCTAGAATGGTTTATCTGAAACTGAGACTGGAAGTCAGACCAATCTTTGTGCCAGTTTTGTGATGTGGACCTGCTGAAGACCAGATTGAGAATAAAGTTACTTGTGTGACATATACCTGATCTGACCCAGGATAAAGGCTCGTGCCATAAGCCATTGCTTCACCTATCCCCCTGAGCCTAGAATTCAAGAGACACAACAAAGACTTACGTAAATTAATTGGGGCATTTTTAACAACATGATCAAACCAGTGAATTAATTCATAATATTTGCCTAAATGCCACATATTTCCTTAAATGCCATAAGTCCAGAAAATGCAGATGTTCTCAAATGCTTAAAACAATTCAATTAAATAATGAGTTTTTAAATAAGGTGAAGCAGATGAAAAGGTTGGCAATATCAGTTTGGTTTCCATATAATATGACGTGAGAAATCTATTTTCAAACCAATCAAATAGCATTCACTGAGTGGATTTGGCGAATTGTAGCATTCATTCACAGAAGTTTGGGACTTGTAGCACTGACTCAGAAAAGGTGGAGTGTGTTCAGGTTGTGAGCAAGCTTCAGACAGACTTCTGACCCAGGCACCTTGATTCTGAATTATAACTCCACCGCTGTTCCAGTCCTGAGTCCAAGTGTGCTGCATGGTGGTTTTGTGACACAGAATGAGGCCACTGAATTCTTTTTACTTGTCACCTAAATCACATTCAGAAGCAGGCTTCCAGAAGTATTTTAACACACTGCATCAATGAACTCCAAAGCCACGGAGTCCTACTGATATCTTTAATTCTTCCTATGATCTTTATTCCTTCATTCCAATGTTGGCTTTGACTGGGAAGTAAGTCTCCTTAGGCATGTTGGACACATGTTTTCAGATAGTCCTGACCAAGAGTTTTTAGGCATTCACACACACTGCATTTAAAAAAAATTTACAATATAGTTGAACAGTCTTTATAAGCTTAAAATGCATGACACCACCTGTTCCTTCAATATCATGCTTATTCTCATCCAAAGGCCAACTCATCTTCATTCTAGTTGCTTGCTGCTTTCCGATTTCTGCTCCAGCCTGCTCTTGTTGCTCTTTACCATGTAGATGAAGTAAGCAAGTGTCTCCTTCTCGTTCACAGGGATATTTCTGAAGTGGCGGCTAATAGTCTAAACATTTAAAAAAAAAAAAAGGCAAATTCTTGAATTAAATGCAGAAATAAGCAGAGCTACAGTTTGGTCTTTGTTCATCCTGACATTGATTTAAGGCTGTCAAGTAAAACACACTTTTATGCAAACATGCACTGATTTGAACAGTCAGTCCTCATTTACCCCTTCACTATAGCTAGAATGTGCATATGAGCAGAGAGCGGTCTTGCTAAATCAACAATTTCAGCAGCCAATTCACAGGTGGAATTTGGAAGCCAGGAAGTCCTCCTTTCCTAGGAAAGCATTACAACAGGCTAGTTTATTAGTTAGTAGTAGAAACCACCCCCACAATCCATTCCGTGCCAAGTTTGCTTGGAGAGAGTTTCCCCACGACTCAATATTTTAAAGAAGGGTGAAGGAAGCTATCGCCAAGCGATCCAAAAGAGGTAGAGACTTGGCAATGTAAACAATGCAGCTTCAATGGACCTTTGTCCACATTAAAACATGTTAGGGAAGCTTTCATCAAAGGAACTGAAAGGGGATACACAACAGAAAAAAAGCTAGGGCTGCTACCTCAAACTTTGGTAGAAACCCTGGACAGTTAGGTTGCTTTTCTCATCCAAAGGATAAATCTAATGAAAAAAGGGTCTTGTTGGAGCAGGATTAGGAGATGTGCTTTCCCCTATGGTGGAAACATCTCTTTCAGTACCCAACACAACTCCAGAATTGGTTTTTGATGCAGGTTGAACAATATGAATCACTCCAAGAAGACTTATGGAAGTTTGAGTTTTCCTTACGGTGGGTTAGAAGCAGATGTCTAAGAGCCTCAGGCAGAAGTGATTCAAGCATAGGAGCTGGACGAGGATCCAGCGTAGGGTCAAAGCTGCTCAAACTTCACAGGAAATCTGGGAAGTGTGTGACAATTTTAAGTTAGGCTCCCTTTAAGGTTAAACTCTGCTTGCATAATAGTTTTGCTGGGGATACTACTGTAAATGTGCTTCAGTACATAGCGCTTGCCAACAAGAGGGAGCTGAAAGACTGCTTACTAGTTAGGTAGAACACTACAAATACATGATATACCAATGAGGAGCTACCTCCCACCCTTCACCTTGTTACTCCACGCCATACACTGTACAACATTATCAACATTAATTCCGTACTCTACTTTGAAAATGAGCAACGAAACATTTTACAAAGCTGCCAGAACTTTGGGTGCTGTATGGTGGTAAAAATCCAGGGCCTGCAAGAAACACACAGTGCCATTTCTGCAGAGGTAAGGTTAACCTGATGAGAGCAGAGCTTCCCTAGGAACAAGTTCAGGTGAAATCAGGGCAGGAGTGGGGATTCTGTAACATTGTCCTGAAGCAGAACTGCCTTGAACATTAGAATATCTGTTAAGGACACTACATCTATCTGCAGCACTGCTTGTATAAAAGAGCTACCCAAACTCTTCTCTCAAGTGGAGGACTGAAGGAGGAGACAGCTCTTTAATGGCTTATTAAGAGCATAAGAACGGCCATACTAGGTCAGACCAATGATCCATCTAACCTGGTATTGGGTCTTCTGACAGCAGCCAATGCCAGGTGCTTCAGAGGACATGAACAGAACAGGCAAGCACTGAGCGATCCATCCAGTCACCTACTCCCAGCTTCTGGCAGTCAGAGGCTCGGGATACCCAGAGCATGGGGTTGCATCCCTGACCATCTTGGCTAATAGCCATTGATGGACCTACCCTCCATGAATGTACCTAATTATTTTTTAGCCCAGTTTTACTTTTGGCCTTCATGACATCCCCTGGCAATAAATTCCACAGGTTGACTGTGCGTTGTGTGAAAAAGTACTTCCTTTTGTTTGTTTTAAGCCTGCTGCCTATTAATTTCATTGGGTGACCCTTGGTTCTTGTGGTATGTGAAGGACTAAATAACACTTCCTTATTCATTTTGTCCGTGCCATTCATGCTTTTAGTCCTCTATCATATCCCCTCATAGCCATCTCTTTTCCAAGCTCAAAAGTCCCAGTCTTATTAATCTCTCCTCATATGCAACCTTAATAATTTTTGTTGCCCTTCTCTGTACTTCTTCCAATTCTAATTTATCTTTTCTGAGATAGGGCAACCAGAACTGCATGCAGCATTCAAAGTGTGGGAGTACCATGGAATTATATAGTGGTGTTATGATATTTTCTGTCTTATCTATCCCTTTTCTAATGGTTCCTAACATCGTTCTCTTTTTTGACTGCCGCTGCACCTCGAGCAGATGTTTTCAGAGAACTAGCCGCAATGACTCCAAGATCTCTTTCCGGAGTGGTAACAGTGATTTTAGATCCCATCATTTTGTATGTACAGTTGGGATTATGTTTTCCAATGTGCACTATCAGCACTGAATTTCATCTGTTGTTTTGTTGCCCAGTCAATCAGTTTTGTGAGATCCCTTTGTAACTCTTCACAGTCTGGTTTAGACTTAACTATCTTGAGTAATTTTGTATTGCCTTCAAATTTTGCCATCTCTTTACCCGTTTACCCCCTTTTCCAGATAATTTATGAATACACTGAACCACACTGCTCCCAGTAGAGATCCCTGGGAGATATTGCCATTTACCCTTCCACATTCTGAAAACTGACCATTTATTCCTACCCTTTGTTTCCTGTCTTTTAATCAGTTACTGATCCATGTGAGGCCTTTCCCTCTTATCCCATGACTGCTTACTTTGCTTAAGAGCCTTTGTCAAAGGCTTTCTGATGATTCAAGTACACTAGTCAGGGGGAATAGCTCAGTGGTTTGAGCATTGGCCTGCTAAACCAAGGGTTGTGAGTTCAATCCTTGAGGGGGCCAGTTAGGGCTCTGGTGCAAAAAAAATAGTTGGGGATTGGTTCTGCTTTGAGCAGGGGGTTGGACTAGATGACCTCCTGAGGTCCCTTCCAACCTTGATATTCTATGAGTCTATATCCACTGGATCATCCACTGATTTGTTGATTCCCTCAAAGAAATCTAATAGATTGGTGAGGCATGATTTAGGTAAGCAAGGTATGTCAGGATCATGGGAGGAAAGAGAGAAGGGAAGGACTGGGTTAGTGACTCTGCCTTTAATATGAAGAAATGCAGCCCAATTGCACTAGGCACAGAATGGAGAAAAACTAAAATATGACATTTAAAATGAGTGTTAGATCATGTTGTATGCAGTGTAGTTGTGTTGGTCCCAGAATATTAGAGCGACAAGGAGAGTGAGGTAATATCTTTTATTAGACCAACTTCCATTGGCCAGAGAGAAGCTTCCGAGCCACACAGAGCTCTTCTTTGGGTGACCTGAAGAAGAACTCCATGTGGCTCAAAAGCTTTTCTCTCTCTCACCAACAGAAGTTGGTCTAATAAAAGATTACCTTGCCCTCTTTGTCTCTGATAGAACATGTGTCAGGAGTTTGGTTTTACAGCTGTCACCAATAACTTGAAAATTGGTAAATACACAGGACAATAGGAGTCCATTTTCTGATTCTATTCACTCTGCCATCATTAATCATTCACTTTTTAATGAAATAGCAGGATGGGAAGAAAGGAGTACAAACAACTACTGCAAAATGTTCCTCAGGATCCTTCTCATGGGAAGGAGAATACGCTTATAGCCTTCTGCTGGGGAAATTCACTGGAAACCAGCAGCAGAGCATCTGGTATGTACTAGTTGATAGAGTCAGTGCACCCACTAGTGTCCAGAAAATGTATGTCAGATTGGGGGAGCAAAAAATACATTTTTTTCCTGTTATAAAAAGCAACTCCCCACACCCTCGCTTACTTCTGCTAGCTGAGCCTTATTGAGGCCAGGCCTGGTCTGTAACTTGTAATGTCTTTTGTACCGTCGCAGCGTGTTCACTTGCAGCTGGAACAGGTCAACCTGGAAAACAGATGCAGGATGACTGGGGTGCAGATGTATCTGAGGAGAGTATCTCAAACTGGCACTTACTAACTCAACAGGACTGCTCTGTCTGTATTCAGAGCCACATCTGCTTGCTTTAGTGACAAATATAAGTCTATTTTTTATTCTTGTTAATGCCGCAGAGCCAAAACAGTCTCAGGGGAGAGAAATTCTGTTCTAGCTCATATACCACCACAGAACTGTTAGCCAATTTCCAGCTGTAAGGCCAAATTTTGCTCTCAATTACACCTCTGCATCCTCAGCAATCCTTTCACTTGTAAACGGAGTGAATCTGAGAAGCAAGACATTTACATACAAAGAGTCCCCCAATGCCATTTTTACAGAGTTGTTTTTCAGAGAAGAACCACACTAAGAATTAGAGAGTTCTTTGTTACAAACAGAAATCACACTCATTGCTGTTTCCCCGGTGGTTCCCACAGAGTTTAGAAACTTGTGGCTGAATACCATCTTATTACCCACTGAGCAAATGGCTCGTGTCACAAACTGTTGGGTTTCAGGGCTACTGTGAAGCAATGAACTCAACCAGGGATATTTCAAAATCTAAATGCACAATTTCTACAGAGTGAGTGTGAGAAAAAACTGCACAAAGGGCAGTCAAAGTGTGTGCTTCAATAACCGACCAGATGAAGAGAACTTTAAATGTAAATTGCAAAACTCCCTCTTATGTTTTAAATTATGCGTTGAATGTCACTTAACTTTTGTTATCTGCAGCATATGGCACAGAAATTTAATTTTGTTACTAATGTTTTTAGGAACTATGACGTCCTGCCAGCTGGATTAACTAAGCAACTTTCTAGCATGTCAGGTATGAGAAAAACCACTAAAGCAAATGAGCCAGCCCAGAAGGGCTCTGTTAAGTAATTATTTCAATTTATTATTGTACCACACTTAAAAGCGTGCTCAATGCCCAAAGTACACATAATAATATCACCAGTAGATCTCAAAGCACTTTACAAAGGAGGTCAGTTTCATAACCCCATTTTACAGACGGGGAAACTGAGGAATAGAGAAATTAGATTAAATAAGATAATGTGGCTCTTGTCTTAAAGATTTTATAATTTATTTGTTTCATGGTTTGAGAAGTATTATTAAATAATGCTACACTGGGATTTAAAAAAATATTGTACATATTTCAAAACTGCATAACATCTTTGAATGTTGCTTAGTTAAGACCACATGGGCTGACTCCATTACCATAGTGGAGATTCTGAAAGCTGTGACATCCCAGAATGATGTATGCTGGGTTGTGGCACCAATCAGGAATCATGCAGTAGGACTTGATGTGCATTAATTTTTTTTTTGAATAGTGTATATGCTGACTACCCCCTTACTTGTTGTTTAGGCATTCTCTGTTAGAACTGGATGAAATTTTTCAACTGAATAATAAATTTGCTGAAAAATGTAGTCTCAGGGCAAATGAAACTATTCACGGTTTTTGGTCAAATTCATAGAATTTTTAAAAAAATGTAAAAGTTCTGTTTTGAAATTTGGATAGATTTGTTTTTTAAAAAGCACTAAAAATAAAAGCAAATTAGTTTAGGGTCTAATGAAGCATTCTGTTTGACCCCAAACCAATTCTTTTAATTTTTGTTTTGGCAAGAAAAAAAACAAACATTTCTGTTCAAAACAAAATTAGTTTTTATTTATTTATTTAGCTGGGTTGGCCACTGAATTGAAAAAAATCAATTATTTTCTCAGTTCTACTCCCTGCATATAAAATTGTAGGCTTGGACTTCTTTTCCACAAATCTTTGCAATTCCCCTTTTCTAGAAAGTTCTAAGTGGACACGTATATAGAAGAAATCTAAGAAAGCCAGGAACTGGGTCATCTCAGGGTGACGAAAGAAAATGGAATATGCTCACGAAACAAAATCAGAATAATCTCGCTCAATATAAAAATTATTCCTGAAGACACTGTTACTTCCATAAGAATTTAGACAAAGTTTCAATTTTGGTGAAAGAAAGACAGTCTTCACAGCTGTATGAAAGTGCTCAAAAGTCCCTATTTCATAGATTTGAAAGGACGTTCACCTTTCCCCCCAAGACAATAAGGTTCATGAAATTTGAACACAGCAGACATTGGCAATAGCAGCCAACATCCGCTTGTGTAAGACACGTACCTCTGGGACATCCATCTCATGCTCAGGAGAGTCTCCTCCATCATCGCTAGTTTTCCTCTTCCTTTTGTTTCGCACACTCTGAATGAAATTCTTGTGGAAATCACAAATGTACAGGTGCCTTACCTAAGAGTAAAAAGTGGGGAAAAAGCAATCAGAGTAGTTATTGTATTAAAAAAAAAAAACAAAAAAAACCTGTATGAGAGTATGATCAATTATAAAGAAACAATACACAGTGCTAACGAGGCCAATTAAGGTGGAAGTGGCCTATTCTCAACAGTTGATTACTTTTGTAGTGCTAACGAGGCCAATGCAATATAAGTGGACCTTAATTGAATTGGCCTCGTTAGCACTGACCCCCCACTTGGTAAGGCAACTCCCATCTTTTCATATATATATATATATACACACACACACACACACACAATGCTTACTGTATGTTCCACACCATGCATCTGATGAAGTGGGTTTTAGCCCATGAAAGCTTATGCCCAAATAAATTTGTTAGTCTCTAAGGTGCCACAAGGACACCTTGTTCTTTTTGCTAATACAGACTAACATGGCTACCACTCTGAAACTTTTAAATAGAAACTTTCTCCATAAAGACTATGGCTGCTGAGCTCAGATGTATCCTCCACCCAGTGAGGGTCTCATTTATAGGCTTGACTGACAGATGTCACTTAACATTATCACTAATTGGCTGGCAGCAGATAAGCCTCCTGGATGCCAACCAATAAAAAAGCTTTCAATTTTTTTCATTTAAAAAATGATTGTGTCAACTGTTCAGTCTGATGTGACAGTTTTTAAATTATAGCTTCATGGGAACAGTTTGAAGCTTTACTAATGTAAATACCTCCCAACTGGTTGGGATTTGTGGAATTAAAGTTACCTCTTTAGTAATGACAGCATTCACAAGTACCTAACAGTGGCTGAAGTGGTACTACTGCCTCCAAAACTAAGAGAAAGTGGCCTTTTCTCTATCCTTCCACACAACATGCTCACCGGAATGCAAGATGCTCCTCCCCTAGCATGTACCATCTGGGAAGTCCTTTTAAATCTCACTACTTTACTAGCTCTACTTCTCACTTAATCACCAGTTGATCTCCCTCTCTCTCTCTCTTCTTCCAGACCTTTTCTCTGTCCTCTACTTCTTTTACGACATTGGGGAGTTATATTATTTAAATCTGTAAAATCGTTTGGAATAAAGCCTGCAAAATAAAGTGTCACATTAGGTATACCATACACACAGATCACAACAATTCCTATTCCTTTGAGAGAGGGAAAGAACCCTAGCATCGTCAATCCGGTGGCTTCAACGTTGCCAAGGTGGCTTCAATAAACACAGCTTGCAGTGTTCAACGCACGATGTCTATCTTCAGTTTGGTCCCAACCGCCATGCAATATCAGGGATGACTGCAGGCTGGTACCAAACTGTGGCGTAAGCTGCTGTGCCTGTAAAGCAGGTGCTGGGTTCCACCCCAGAAGAGACCACACTGCAGTGGCCCATGAAGTGGGCAGAGCACTGCAGAAGCCCTCGGGCTATAGAAAGGCAAGGCTACGACAGGATTCACAGTCGGGCTGCAACTCACACTTTTGTCAATGTCCAACTTGAGCTTCTTCTGGGAGATGCTCTTCTGGATCCTCTTGCTGAAGGAGGCATTGCCGGCCGGGCGGACACAGCGGTCCCCGTCATCAATCAGGCAGCAGCTCTGGCCGTAAAAGGGGGCAGCGGGGGGCCCATCCCGGCTGTCCTCCTCGGTGCTGAAGCCATTCATCGCCCAGCCCAGCCAGGAAAGTGATGGCAGGGAGGGAGATACCCGATGCCTCCCAAGGGCTGAGACTGGGATCCCGGCAATGAGAGCGCCTCCAACACCCAGCGCCCCCACGGGGCCCCTAGAAACTCCCGGCACGGTCCCAGCTCCCGGG